TTATACCATGCCCTCAGCAAGTGTAACAGATCATTTCAAGAAAAATGTTTACAAACTTCATTGCTGCATGGCTATAAAAATGTTAAGGTATTGTTTCCTAGCTGTGTGTTCTCAGACTCCCTTATATCCCAAATGGAGAGTCTTTGTAATACCAGCTTGAAGAAGAGTTTATAATCATCTGCATTTTCTCTTCAAGTAAGAATACTGTGTAACTGTTCCAGTATTGAGTAGTTTAAAATCTGCAAAAAAAAAAAAAACACCTAGATCCTGGATTCAATAAATCTACCAAATTTATATAAGAAAAAAATGATTTGTCTCTAAATAAAATCTTTTAGATAACAGAAAAACAGGGAATATTACTTGTCTAACTTCTAAAACTAAATAAAATTATCCCAGAAAAAGACAAGACAAAGAAAAAAACTGCAGGCCAGTTTCCCTTTTCAACATAGATTCAAAAGTCTTAAACAAAATATTAGCAAAATAAATCCATCACTGAACAAAAGGGCTAACACATGGAGTTCAAGCCATTTCAACATTAGGACGTCTGTTAAGGTAACAACCAATGAATGGTTTGTAAAAGCAGAAGATCATCTGATTATCTCAATAGATCTCAATAGATTTAAAATTATTTAAATTTTAAATAAAATTTCAAAACATTTATAAATTTTAAAATAAACTCATAGAAAGCTTAAAATAAAGAAAACTTTGTTATCCTAATTAAAAGAGTATACCACAGATCTTCAATGCTAAAACAGCAAAAAGATTTGCTTTAAAATCTGGAAGAAGACAGGGACACCTGCTTCTGCTACTAGTTACCAATTTACTGGTGGCTCCAGCCATAGAAAGAAAAGAAAAAAGAAAAGTAAGGAAAGGAAAAGAAAAGAAGGAGGGAACGGGGGGTGGGGAGGGAAGAGAGGAGAGAAAGGAAGAGAAAGAAAGGAGGGAGGAAGGAGAGATCGAGGGAGGGAAAAAAGGAAGTAAGAAAAAAGAAAGAGGGTGGTAAAAAAGGAAAGAAGGAAAGGGAGGGAGGAAAAAGGAAGAGAGGGAGGGAGAGGAAGAAGAAAGGAAGAAAAGTGAAAGGAAGGAAAGAAGGAGGGTGGGAGGGAGGGGAGGAAGGAAGGAGAGAAAGGGAGGGAGGGAGGGAAAGAAAGGAGGGAAGAAAGAAAAGGGAGGCAGGGAGAAAAGAAAGAAAAAAGGGAGGCAAAGAAGGATGGGAGGAGAGGAAGGAAGGAAAGAGAAAAAGAAAGTTAACGACAAACTCATTATTTTAGTAAGTAAGGGAGGGAGGGAAAGTTAATAACAAACATTATTTTTTATTTACATAATTGTCCACAAAGGAAAAGTGTCGAGCCATTACTAGATACAAAGCAAATGTGTCAAATGTGACAGCTTTCCTGTGTACCAACACAATCTGAGGGAGAATTGTAATGGAGAAATAACCACTATTTTCTACAGCATCAAAAAAAATGTCTTTTAAATCTAAAAATAAGAAGCGTACAAAAACTACATGAGGAAAACTACAGACTTCCTTGAAGGATCTTTCAACAGCCCAATTAAATGGAGAAATGTACCATGTTCTGGTGCCCTTGCCTTCCAAATAATTTAACAATAAATATAACTTCTAATGAAATTCTCAAAGCAATTTGTTTTTATAAAACTTGATAAATTTATTTTAAAAATCAATTGGAAGGGTAAAAAAAGTAAAAGCAATGAAGACAGAATTCAGACATAACATAGTCTGATAATAATTAAATGTGTTTTTCTTCATTTAAGAAGACAAGTAGGCCCATGGAATTAAAAAAAAATTCTGAGAAAGATGTATTTATATATAGGAATTTAGAATATGAGTAAATGACACTTCGACCAGCGGGGGCGTGGGGGGATGGGCAGTATTGGGACAAGTATCTGTCTCTCTGAAAAAGCACAAAACTAAATTTCTGCCTCTTCCCATTCCCAAAAGTGAATTCTAGATGGAAATCAATGCCACATATAATAATTTTATATTATGTAAGTACACGTATTTACTTAAGCTGCACAGATAAACCTATTTTAGAACTAAGAGTTTTTACCTTTTTAAAAAATTATATATGAAAAGTCTATTCTACAAATTTAAAGATGTAAAATGTGTCAAAAATCTTCCCACTAAAAGAACTCAGCCCCAGAGAGTTTAATCAGTGAATTCTATCATCAAACTTTGAAAGGATAAATTGTATGTGAACTTTTGTAGAAAATAAAATAGGTGGGAACACTTCCACCTGTACCTTATTAAGCTATTCTAACACTGATTTTCAAGAACCTGACAATGATGTGCAACGTATGGAATGAGCTAAGGATTAGAATATGTACAACATTCCCCAAAATCATTTAGAATAAAAAAAAATAACCCAGGGGAAAAATAAACACTGGCCACAAACAGCGTGTTTACACACACAAATCTCTAAAGTACAAAAAGATGATCATCTTCACCAGTAACTACAAAAACACAAATGAAAACAACAATAAGATAAAATTCTCATTATCTATCATATTGGAAACCATGTTTTAAAGTGACAGCAGCCAGCACCACGGTGGCAAGAAGAAATGGGTGCTCCTGTAAACTTGGGTGGGAACATAACTGAACTGTGGAAGCCCATCTGGGAGTAGAGAGTGACAGTATCTATCAGAAATGTAAATACACTTAATGCTTAGAAGCAGTCGTTACTGCCTCTCAGTCTATACATCTAAAATCAATCATATAAGTACAAAATTATAAAATAGCAAAGATAAGAGTAGAATTAACAAAACAGAAAATAATGGAGAAAACCAACAAACCCAAAACTTGTTATATGTAAAAATCCACAAATGTGATAGACTCCCCACTATATTGGTCAAGAAAAAAGAAAGCAAACACAGTCCACCAGTAACAATGAAAAGGTGTCATCACTGTAGCTCCCACATATGTTAGAAGATAACACGAGAAGATTATGAACTTAATGCCAAGAAATGCTGGGGCAAGACAGTCAAAGCAACAGATTCTTTGAAAAATACAATTTACTGAAATTGAGTCAAAAAATTCAAAAGAAATATAAACAGCTTTATAAGTATTACATGGATTTATCAAAAACCTTCACAGCAAAAACACTCAAACCCCAGAGAGTGTAATCAGTGAATTCTATCAAACTTTCAAAGAATAAATTGTACATGAACTGTAATAGAAAATAAAGGAGGTGGGAACACTTCCAAGTGTGATTTATTAGGCCATTATAACACTAATTTTAAAGAACCTGACAAACATTGCAGAAAAAGTAAGTTACAGACTAGTGTCTTTCATAAACATGGACACAAAATTTCTTAACAAAATACTAGCAAATCAAATCTAATGACTTATACAAAGAATAGTAATACAAAATGACTAAGTAGGGTTTTTCCCAGGAAAGCAAGGTTGTCTAACTCTCTAAAGTCGATCAATAGAATTCACAATGTTAGCAGAATAAATGAAGAAAACCGTAGGATTATCTAACACAGAAAAGGTATTTACCAAAATCCAATATCCATTCATGGTATTTGCCAAACTGGGCATGAAAGGGCACCTCGTCAGTTTGATTAAGAGCATCTTTTTTAAAAATCTACAATAACATAGAAGTTAATGGTGAAACACTGAACAGTTTCTCCCTCAGGTTGAGAAGCAGTTCAGTATTTCCAGTGTCACCGCATCTTTTTCTTTCACCTCTGTCCCCCCAAAGCCTCTTCTATAGGAGCACTGGAATGCTCATATGATTTGATGCCGCATCTCAAGCTTACAAAGGTTGAATAAGTTGGCAAAAAGACAGGATTTAAAGCTGCTTCTGTCAAACTCCTGAGTCTGTCATCTTAATCACTGCCAGTGTTGCTCAGCTGCTTCTAGAAATAGTAAGGATTTTTCTTTTTTTAGAGCAAAACTGATGAAAGAAAGTATCTAATTTTACCCCTCTAAGGTCAAAAAAGGTTAGCTCTCTCCAACACGAATAGCACACACACCTGTCAGGCACCTGGCAATATTTTTAAAATCCCTCTAGAAATAACTGTTCCTTTGAAGAGGCCATTTTCAGTGATGAGTCACCCATTGAGTCTTCCTGGGTTTAATATTAGCAAAACCTGTTGGAAGTTAAAGAGGAAGAGGGGAGGTGGGAAGCAGACAGAAGAGCTGCCAAGGGCATCAGCCAGCCAGCCAGGGGAGCTGCTGAAACGTTCTTACCACCTTCTCCTCTTGGTGTCATATTCCTTTTATGTCTTAATCTCTCTAATGGGGATTAATATCAAAGGCCTGTTTCTGATTCTAGGATCAAAAGGAGAGAGAAGGGAGGAAGCTCTTCCTTTATGGCGTGTTTTGGAGGATGTGGTTATAGGGTGTGTGAAAGTAGACACACCAGAAAACAATAAGATATCAGGAAGAGCCCTGGTAGAACCTCCTGGCAGGACCATCAAGCATGCTGGAGGGGCAGGGAGGAAGTATAAGGGCTGGCTGGAGCCCGTGGTCCACCAACAAGCCAAAAGCCAGAGAGAACCCAAATCATCCCTTCCAGGAACCATCTGCCAATTCTCAGAACTTCCCAAGGCACCACAGTGTCCCATGGGAAGATTTTTAACATCTCATGGCATTAGAGACAAGAATCTTGGAATGACAGATCCAGACAGAACGCTATGTAGAGACATTCCTCGAATATCTTCCTCCAGCCTCGGGATCTCCGCCTTTAAATTAGATCCACCAAAGATGCTGTGTCATAGGTTTCCGATGGAGAAGTGAAATGAAATGAAAGCCACATGCATGCCTGAAAGCATTATTTCTCTCTTTATATTATATGATGAATTTTTAATTTTGGTTTTATGAGAAACATAAATCTGACTTCAGAAAAATTTGTGTTGATCCAGAATGGAGGTGGCGTTTTTTGCCATAAAAATATACATATATACCATTTGCCATTCAAAATTACATAATCACATCTCTTTTTAAAAAAAAAAAAGCAGAATGTAAGTAACTTTGTTGAACCATTAGGCATTATTTTATTTAATTCTCACAACAGCTTTATGAGGTAGGTGTGATTATTCTCATTATTCAGAAGGGAATGTAAACAGTTGGTTTTCTCAAAATCATGCAGCCAGTGAAGGAAAGTCAGGATTCACGCTTGGGACCGCATGATGCCAAAACTGACCTTTCACCTCCTAGAGATAAAAGTGAGAAATACCAGCTTGGGAGTGCAGACAGTGTATGCAACACGAAGACTTACTGTATGCTACCTTTGAGGAAATGCCAGAGGAGGGGGCTGGATTTAGGGGAAGGGCCCCTTAGGAGGCTGCTGGGGTGGGGGAAGGATGAGAGCAAGGGCCTGCCGTAATGTAGGATATGAAGACATCACTGGAGTTAGATGCACTGCTCTAATAACCACATGCTTCCATCCCTGACTCATTACAGAACTGGCACCAGATAAACTTTCCCGGGGCCTCCTGAAGTGGACAGAGCCTACCGGTGGAAGCCTGAACAACCGAATGGGTGTGAAGAGCAGCTCTCCTCACCAGCCCTGACCTATCATCTCTGTGGAGTATTTTATTCTCCATTACAGTGATTCTCAAAGTGTGGACCCCAGACCTGGAGCAAAAGTCGCCTGGGAGATTGCTAGAATCAATATTTCTCAGCCCTAACCCCAGACCTACAGAATCCAGGTTGTAGCTGTCCCGGTGGTTAGGTTGCAGGCTGATGACTAAGAGCCGCTTGCTTCATGGCATCCCCCACGCATAGCACACAGCATTCTCCCTATGAAGAATGCATGAACGAATGGATGGTTATTTTTCTCTAGGACAGTGCAACCACATGCCCCCACCATGAGCACTGAAACCAGCTAGGAGAAATGCCCCAGAGTAAGAAGTAGTAAAAGCTGGTTCCTAACAGTGCAGAGGGGCCTGGAGTCCCTGACAGGAGGTGTGGCCCGCCACGGTGAGGAAGCCTCCCCAGCCCCACTCCACGCCCACTGTATTCACTTTCCTCATTGAGTTTATTTTGCATCCCAGGATTTTGGCCCTGTGTGGGGACCTGTTTTAGCCTCTTGAATATTGTTAATTTGATCAAGTTTATGTTTGTATCCCTTGGTGAAAATATGCCAAAGTTTTTGGTTTGCTTTTATTTTATTAATGTCCCTGTCTCCCTGTGCACATCGTAGATGACGTTTGTTTATAACAGAAATTCCTAGAATGACAGGCAGACACGAGTCCAACAAGTCTCTATCTGCTCCTGAGGAATGAGGAGCAAACATTCTCATTAGACCAGGACCCTTCCTGAGACAAATGCAGGCAGTCACCTGTGAAAGCTTTACCGCCCTGTGTCTCCACCTGGTCTCCTGCCTGAGGCTTTTGCTCTCGGAGAGATCTGCTCCCTGGAATTCTGCCCTGAGTCGCCGACTGCCAGGTTACAGACAGGAAGGGCTAAATCATCTCCACCGAGGAGCCTGGGGTACAGGTAAAGAATCAACATCTGTGACACTCAGATGGCTTGTTTATCAGGGGAGTGATTTGAAGTTGATGTCGACCCCTGGTGGGTGGGACACTGGCTCGTGACACATTTCTCATAATAGTCCTGAGTCTTGTGTCATCTTTAGGAATAACATAATTTCACAGTGAATAATTTAGAACTTCTGTGGCCACTTGAGAAAAATTTTGAATCTGCTTAAGAGGCACTATAGAACCAAAGGGGCCCAGGATCTCTGACAGCTGCTGGTTAGCACAATGTGATATAAGGAGGCTTCAGAAAGAAATGAGGATCCCAAAGTTGTATCTCTAACAAATTCCTTGAGGAGACAGACACCAAGCCTTCGTGGTTTTATTTGCCCACGCCGCCGTCTCTCTTCCACACTGGTCCTCTGCCTTCAGCTCTGTCAGCCCTTCCAACCCTTCACTGTCTCGCTGGTCCATCTGAATCAGCCCAAAGCTAAACAAGCTGACAGGGAGTCCTTAAGAGTAGTCCTTAATCCCTGGGCTAGGCCAAAGTTAAGAAGCACAAAGACTTTCCTAAGTCTAAAAAAGATAATAGTCCACCAAGAGTAGCTCAGGAAGGCTGTTGCCTTTTGACAGATGCATCAAGTAGCCTACAAGCTGGCAGGGCTTTAAGATGCAAAAGCCTCGATGGAAAGCTTCACTGTAGAGGATATCAAGGGCAGTGGTTCTGCGGAACAGCTAACGGGCTCAACAGGGTTGCCGAGATAGGACCAGCTTTCTCATGGGTGTTACAAGACAACCAACTTGTAAAGACTGCCTGAGGTCTTCAGCCTTGCAAGCAGAGGGCTGGTGAAGCCGTTGGAGGTTGGTAAGCTATGCATGTGTTCAGGCATAGACTGACGCCGGATGGACCACAGCTTGGCCACTTCTCTTTGTCAGTTGCTTCAAACCTGAAATCAGAGATTTCATTAGATTAAACTTGAGGACAAGAAATGACCCCTTTGAAATTCAACTACAGCTCTGAAAGAATGTTTTGACAGTATAAAAGATTAAAAATAAGCCACAGCTCAAAATAACCTCTAAAGTCTCAAATTAAACAGTTGTATGCCCTAATATGTAGAAACAATTGCTTAACCCCACAGTAGGAAAACGTCCCAGACAAGGACCCTTGCAGTTACTGCCAGCAAAATGCCACTGGAAAAAACTATTGGATGTGAAAGATAAGAAACTGAAGTAGAAAAATACTGTTACAAGAAAAAACCTTAGCTGAACTGAGTTTAACAAAGTCTAATTGAGCAAAGAACGACTCCAGAGTAGGCTCTGAGACTCCAGCTCAGCCATCTGGTGGAAGACGATTTATGAAGAGAAAAAGGAAAGTGAGGTACAGAAAATGAAAGTGAGGTGCAGAAACAGCTGGATTGGTTACAGGGTGCTGTTTGCCTTCTTTGAACATAGTTTGAACAGTTGGCCACCTTTGGCCAAAACTCAGTGATTGGCACAAGAAGAGGCTGCAGTCTGCTTACAACTCCATTTACATTACAGTTCACTACGTACAGGGAAACCTTTAGGCCAAACTTAAAATACGTAAGGAGTCAACTTTAGGCTAAATTTGATTTAACAATATGATGTTTGCTGGGTGCAGTCACTCATGCCTGTAATCCCAGCACTTCGGGAGACCAAAGCAGGCAGATCACTTGAGCTCAGGAATTTCAGACCAGCCTGGGTAACATAGCAAGTTTCTATCTCCATAGCAAGTTTCTATCTCTTCAACAAAAAAATAGCCAAACATGGTGGTGCATGCCCTTACCCAGCTACTCAGAAGACTAAGGTAGGAGGATCACTTGAGCCCAGGAGGTGGAGGCTGCAATGAGCCAAGATCATACCACTGTACCCCAGCCTGGGCAACAGAGTGGGACCCTGTCTCAAAAAGAGAGAGGGAGTGAGGGAAGGACAGAAAGAGAGAGGGAGGGAGGGAGTGAGGGAAGGACAGAAAGAGAGAGGGAGGGAGGGAGGGAAGGAAGGAAGGAAGGAAGGAAGGAAGGAAGGAAGGAAGGAAGGAAGGAAGGAAGGAAGGCCAGCCACACAGGAGAGAAATAAATGTCTGGTTCCCCCCACTTTTGTACAGCCTCTCCCTGCGGGATGCCCAGGTGATGGGCATCTTCAGTGATCCCCAAACTCTCCATGCCTAAGCCTGAAACCTGAAGACACAAATCATAGTTATTTGTGTCTACTAATGTCCTTATATTTAAATCAAACAAAGATTGAATAATTCTATGAGGATCTAGATTCCCAAGAGTGAAGAGTTCCACTGACTGGCAGAATACTAGAGTCAGGGCCATTACAACCCAAACCCTTACAGAACCCTTTCAACTGAAACTTACAGGAAGACAGAAGAGCATAGAGAAAGATCAAATGGGTAAAAACCTAATCATCTTTGCAGCAGTCCTTGTTGCACTCCTTTCTTTGGAGTTATAACATCCAACAGATAATGATATCAGTTACCCAGCATACCACAGTTCTAAAATAGCGTCACCTGTGATACCAAACCCCAGTATCGTCCTAGCTTAGGTACCAACTAATTTCTCTTATTTCACAATTGTACTTCCCTGTATGGATATTTGCTTTCTCCAGGATTCCTCTAAATTAGAAGAGCCAATTTCTCTTTATTTTCCTCCTTGGAAGGCCAACAATATAATTGCAAATTGTGCCTCAGGATTTCACAGAAGCCTTTTATTGCTTGTCATAAATCCTTAATCAAGATCTCAATCAGTTGCTTCAGTGGGTTCTTATTTTTTCTCAAACTACCACATGTCTATACAACTTCACTAAGCCCATAGAATCAGGGCCCTTCCACTGGAAACCTAATCATGAGTGGGCATTTTGAGATTTAAAATTAGCTCTTTAACAACTCCCTATAAGGAATCTACCTAATTATTATAATGTATCCAGTTGTTTGTACACAAACATACTGGACAAGCCCTTGGGGCTGTGACTCAGCCTTATGGGCGTGGTAGAGATCAATAGCTTAGTACAACTTTTTCCTAACGGGAAAGCATTTCTGCCTGGTTTCAGAGCAGTGGCAGTATCAGCCAAGTAACACGGAGACCTAGGATCGCCTTGGAGCATAGTTGTCCCTCGTGCTGTGGATAATCCTTGCACTTATGGGGAAAATTCATCACTTTCAGCAAGCAGAAGCACCTCATGTGAGTTCTCATCATGCCTGGAAACTTGCTATGCTTCTACCAGCAGAAGGGAAATCTTACAGTTGCCAATGTCTTCTTGAGATCTCTCCAGGCCTTAGATAAATTTGTTACAGACTCTCATAGAAAATCTAGAACAAATATCATTTGTTGAGAGATCACATATGAAATTGGATTTTCGGTTCTAAGAAACCAATGAGGGTATCAATTTGTCACGGTCCTCAGAAATGGCATTTCATAACATGTCACAACTCTAGAGTGTCGCCTCTTACCAGAGGAAAAAGCAATCCAAATGGTGGAGCTCAGTGCACTAAATAAAGCCTGTCGGCGTGGCTCAGGATAACAGGATTGATGTGTACACTAACCACAGGCACACTTACAGGGAAACATGATTTGCAGGGAGCTCTGGAACTAGTGAGATCAACGGGAAGCCCAATTAAAAATGATGACCAAATTGAGGAACTCCAAAATACCACAGGGCTCCCTAAAGGAGATGCCATTGTAAAGGTAGAAACACACAATGGAGTGTATTTGCAGGTGAAAGGAGATGCTCTGGGCAGCCCTCCCTACAGCCAGGCCTGCTGACATGACACACAAGCAAATTCTTTGGCAGGTTCACAGACTACTGTATGATATCAAATATTGGTTCCAGAGTCATACAAAAAGATATCAATAATAATCCGGCTCTACATTGCATAGTGTAATCTCTCCCACTCTTATATTAGCCCTCTGGTGGTGCCATAGAACTTCAAAAAGGGATCCTTGAAAATAGTATATGTAAAATTACCCACTAGAGTAAGGTGTACCTAACTCTGGTAGGGAGACTACTAAACTTGTGGAGTGAGTACCTGGTACATAACTCATTTGTCACCAACATGATCCTCTGAAAACTTGTAACAGTAGAATATGGATGAGGCACCACTCTGAAGACCTCCTTGGACATCTCCAGATGGATTTTATACACTCACCATCAGCCTATCAAAATAAATCCAGTCTACATCTTCAACATTAGAGAACCCAATTTCACCAAAATTGTCATTGAGAAGTTTTGAAAAATCCTACCACTTAAAAATTCCACAGTCCATATTATCTTTAACTTGCAGGAGAATTCTAGAGGACAAATATTAATTTAAAAGCTATTTATTTAATTTCCCTTTTTGTGGGACTTGGCATTATAGCCAGTATAGGAACCAAAATTGCTGGAATCACAAAAGCCTCCTTAACCTATACCCAAATCTCAAAAGAAATAGCCAACAATATTGATGCCATGGCTAAAACCTTAATAACGTTGCAAGAACAAATCGATTCATTGATTCTTTAGCAGCCATAGTCTCCCGAAATCACTGAGGACTAGATATATTAACAGCAGCACAGGGAGGAATTTGTTTAGCCTTAGATGAAAAATGTCCCTTTGGGGTTAATCAGGAAAAGTACAAGATGACATCAGACAACTTCTAAATCAAGCCTTCAATTTCTGGGAACAAGCCTCTCAGGGTTGGTTAAATTGGAAAGGAACATGGAAATGGTTCTCCTGGGTTCTTCCCTTTTGAGGCCCACTTGTTAGTCTCCTACTTTTTCTCCTTTCTGGTTCATGTTTTCTAAAACCAATAACCTGGTTTGTCTCCTATCGCCTTCAGGCATCAAGCTCCAGATGATCCTCAATGAGGGATACCGTCCTCTCAATATTCAAGAGTCACCCTTCTACCGAGGAACCTAGACTGCCCATTAGTGGGATGTGAGAGAGGTGAAACCCTGCCCTGTCTCCCTTGGCCCTGTCTGGATACTGTTTTTACCAACCCATGGAGCCATCCTGCCCTGACAGTTAGCAAGAGGCCAAGACCCAGAAAACAACCACCACTGCCCCTCTGTCAGCAGGAAGCAGTTACAGAAGACTGACCTTCATTCATATTCCCAAAGAATTTGGGCCTGGGGCTCTTGAATGGGGGAAATGTTAGAGTAGGTAGTTAAGCAGACGTAATCAGGGCGGGAGACGGCCCGGCATCTGGAATGTCAGGTGACCATCAGGTGATAGGTGTCTCTAAAGAAATGATTGGTTGCAGTTGGCACCAGGAAATGGCAATCTCCTAATAGATAGAAAACACCTGAAACTGCTGATTAGCAGCTTCTCGATAAGATTTTAGTAGTTGGGAAAATGGGCTCAAGCATGTGCTCTAAAAGCAAAATGGTGAAGTTTAACTGAGATGTGACCATCCTGCAGGAACTCTCGACTGGTAAGGGAAAAATGCCTCACATGAGCATGCACGCAATTTCAGTAAACACACGGTGCATGCGGCCCCTCCCAGGTGCTGGTGGGCCACTGTACATGCGGACAGTGCACCCCAAGGGAAGAATCACAGGAGAAGAGACTCAAGACCCTGGAATCAGGACAATGTATAAAACCCCAAGTCAGGCCAGGCATAGTGATTTATACCTGTAATCCCAGCACTTTGGGAGGCAGAAAGATCATCTGAGTTCAGGAGTTCAAGACTAGCCTGGCTGACACGATGAAACCCTGTCTCTACTAAAACTGCAAAACCTAGCTGGGCATGGTGGCACACACCTGTAATCCCAGCTACTTTGGAGGCTGAGGCAGGAGACTCACTTGGACCCAGGAGGCAGAGTTTGCAGTGAGCTGAGATCATGCCACTGCACTCCAGCCTGGGCCACGTAGTAAGACTCCATCTCAAAAAATATAAGCAAATAAATAAATAAAACCCCAAGTCAGAGGTCAACCACACAGTTGACTCTCTCAAGTTGCCCACTTGGCCCTCTTCCAAGTGTACTTTACTTCCTTTCATTCTTGCTCTAAAACTTTTAAATAAACTTTCATTCCTACTCTATGCTCTCTCCCTCTGCCTTATGCCCCTCAGTTGAATTATTTCTTCTGAGGACACAAGGAGTTGCTGCAGAGTCATACAGATTCACCACTGCTAAAAAAGTCTCTTCACTACAGGACTTAGGCCTCTATCCTTAATGCTGTGATTTATACCTCTAGTCTTTTCGTACTGTAAGTACAATGCTTGGCTATAACTCACTTGATTTATCTAAAACATACTGAGGCGAGAAAATAGGGTCTGGAGGCAGGGAGCATAAGACCAATTCACACTTCAGCTGTAAACGGGAAATATCCTCTCCATAGGACATACGCTGTCAACGACTGTGTCCTCTCCATTTACATAGGGTCTACCCCAAGTAACCAGTGGAATCTTCTCCATAGGGCATATGCCATAAATGACTCTATAACTTTACTTCTTCCTCTTCATTTACATAAGGTGTACCTCAGCTAACCAATGGAATCCTCTAGCAGGTATTTGAACTCCCAAAAATTCTGTAACAGGGCCTTGAGCCCCTATGCTCAGGCCCGCTCCCACAATGTGGAGTGTACTTTCAATTTCAATAAAACTCTTCATTCCCTCCTCACTTTGTTTGTGTATTTTGTCTGATTCTTTGTTCAAGACACCAAGAACCTGGACACCCTCCACCATTAACAATACCACTGAGCCATCCGTTGGTTTTGGACTCACTTTCATTTGGGCAGTAGCCACTTTTTAATTGACACCGATTTTCCTCTGGGTGCCACACCAGTACCCTTTAGTTATTTAAAGGAATCAGTCTGTTTCCTACATAATTGGACTCAGCCACTATGTAACGTTTCAGGTGGCAAAGAGCACAGCAGACCAGTTAGCCCAAAGCCCAAACCCCATCTCACACCACAACTGCGAGAGAGACTTCTACGCCAAACTCATAGAAATAAAACAGGAACTAAGAAATGGAGGTACAAGCAGAAGATGCCTCATTTTTATAAACCCTACAAGGAAGTGGCATGAGCGCTGCCAATGCCCTTGGACCCCAAAGGTTTGCTGAAAAAAAATCACTGACCAGAGGCAGATTGATTAATAAGAGAAAAGGCCTACAAATTTATTTAATGTGTATACATGGTAGCCTTGAGAACGAAGACCCAACCCACCAGTGAAGTACAGAAGCTTCTAGGCCATCTTGAGATTACAGAAAGAATGTGGGCACACAGTCAAAAAACCCAAAACCAGGTTTTAGTGCCGAAACACGTTAAGGGTGGGAGAAAGGAAGAGGCTTGGTTAACAAAAGTGGTCTTTTATGTAGATGAAGCCTCACAGGTAGTAGTCCTCAGAGAAAATAAATGGAAAATGTCTGTTTTCAGACCTTTAAAGGTGTCAGACTCTCAGTTAATCTCTCCTGGCCCTGGAGAGACCTAGAAAGGGAAGGCCTGGCTACATTAATGGAGATTCTCTACAAATAGAAATTCCAGACCCCCCCAAAAAAAAAAAAAAAAAAAAACAGCTTTGAAAAGCCACATCAGTCTGCTGGTCCTGCAGCTGTCATTTCAAAATACGTCAAAAAAATCTATTTGGAGGTAAAGTGTCTTTTCCCCTCAGAAGAGCTATACTTAAGATCTATGCCTTAAGCAGAAGGTCCTTCTCTCTCACCGTGGGCGTATCTGAGGCTCTTTCTTCTTTAACCCTTTTCCCATTTGCCTAAGAATACTCACTGGCAGTGCCTGCAGCTGCAGCATTTACCCCCAGATAACTTTGTCACAAAGTATATTTATTATTGTTTTCACATTGCTCTAGTATATTGACTTTGGAAACAAAAGCCATCGTTCTACTTATAGCATTCTGTTTTTAGTAGTGGTATTTCCATTTACAAAATAGAGTAATTCTCAATAGCTGAAAATGTCAAATCCCAGAAAACAGCATTCCTATGCATTATGTTTACATCATTCTCCAACATTTGTTGGCCAAAGATTCACTTGATGAATCTGAGTTTTTCCAAGTAGATAATTCGGGTGATTCTGATGTTAGTTATGTTTAGAAATAACTCCAAGAACAGTTTTTATATTTTATTTTTCACATTGAAAATCAGTCAGATTTGCTTCAGCCTCAGAGCGTGTTTACGTAAAATGAAATGAGTGCTGGTAACAAGGTGCACTTATTTTTTCTAAACAGGAAAAGGGTTAAATGGCATTGCCTGGTGCAACACCATGCTCAAGTTAAAATTGTGTGACATACCAGATGACCACATAGGAGCACGTAGGTATTCCCCATGCTGGTGTGATTTTCAGCACAAACCTCTTGGCTATGCCTACAGACTGGACAGGGACTTGCTTCCTTGGTAAACCGACATCTACTTTTAGGATGCCCTTAATATCACTCAAGGCCCATTTTGGCACATTGATTTATGCTCTTAGGAATAGATCATACCCTTTTAAACAACTTAATTCATGAAGAGGAAAACTGATTCTGAATTTCTGAACTTGACTCTCATTCTAGGCTTTTTTATTTCCACACACCTCCTCCTGTCAAACTTTAAAGTAGGCTTGGAAAGTGTAAAACAATGCACACATTATTTTTCTAAGACCTACAGGGGACTAGACAATGCCCCTAAGGGTATAGATCTCTTCATCAGGGAATTTCATGAGATTGACCAACACTGGTTTGAAAAAGGGCAGCCCTGGTCTCACAATATTCAAGACAATTCATGTGCCATCTTACAGGAAGAATGTTGTCCTTAATCCCACAAACTTTTCCAGAACCTTTAATATTCCCATAAGGATCTGAAAAGCATATGAAGAAATTATAAAATTAGGTAATTTAGTTGATGTTCCTATGTCCACTGCTACAGGCTCTACAGATCAAGGATGGGATATGTTCCCTGGTTTATTTGGCTGTTCTTGGCTCCTAGCCTAGAAATGAGCTACACACGCTGATCATGATCCTTCCTCGTTGTTGATGAAAAGAGTAAAACTCTGTAAATATTTTTAAAGAGATTTATTCTAAGCGAAATATGAGTGATCCTGGCCGGAGGCAGGCTGTCAAGAGGTCCTGGGAATATGTGTCCAAGGTGCTGGGGCTACAGCTCAATTTTATAATTTTAGGAAGACAGAAGTTCAGACAAAAGTCATATATTTTAGGCAGACATCAATCAACACGTAAGATGTGCATTGGTTTGGTCTGAAAAGGCAGGACATCTTGAAGTTTGGGGGCTGGAGTAGGGGATGAGGAGGGAGACTTATGGGTCATTTACAGGTAGAACTAAAGATTTCCAACTGGCAACTTTTTGAAAGAGTTGGCCGGGCATGGTGGCTCATACCTGTAATCCCAGCACTTTGGGAGGCTGAGGCAGGTGGATCACCTGAGATCGGAAGTTTGAGACCAGCCTGGCCAACATGATGAAACGCTGTCTCTACAAAAAAAAAAATACAAAAAATTACCCAGGTGTGGTGGCATGTGCCTGTAATCCCAGCTACTTGGGAGACTAAGGCAGGAGAATCACTTGAACCCAGGAGGCGGAGATTGCAGTGAGCCTAGATCCTGCCACTTAACTCCAGCCTGAACAACAAGAGTGAAACTCCTCCATCTCAAAAAAAAAAAAAAAGAAGAAGAAGAAAGAAAAAGAAAGAGTTAAGCTCTTCATAAGCTCTGCTTCAGAAAGAAATGTCTGTAGTTAAGAGGGGCTGTGGAAGTCAAGGTTCTTGTTACGTGGATGAAGCCTCCAGGTAGCAGGCTTCAGAGAGATTAGATGGCAAATGTTTGTTATCACCATCAAAAGGTGCCAGACTCTAGTTAAATCTCTCCTGGATCAGGAAAATACCTGGAAAGGGAAGGGGATTCTCTATAGAATGTAGATTTTTTTCACAAGAGACAGCTTTGCAGGGCAGGGCCATTTCAAAAGACATCAAAGAAATATGTTTTGGGGTAAAATACTTCAATTTTTTTCAAGGCATGCTGCTATCTGTCACGTGCTGCTATGTACAAGTCAGGTTGGAATTCGGTATCATGTTGCTGCAAAGAGTCGCTTTCATCAGTCTTAAGATCTTTATTAGCATTAATGCTGGTCAGTTGTGCCTGAATTCCAAAGCAGAGAAGGTATAACCAGGCCTGTCCTACCCCCACTTCTCATCATGGCCTGTACTAGTTTTTCAGGCTTATTTTGGAATCCCCTTGGCTGAGAGTTGGAGTCCATTCAATTGGCTGTGGGACTTACAATTTTATTTTTGGTCTACGTCTTAGACTTTGCATGCTTTGCAGTGTTCGGATGTGTAATCCCCTAGGTCTAAAATTCTGTTACTCAGCCACTGTCTCACCAAATGATCCAGCAACTGACCATTTGACAGATGCTACAAACCATTATAAAGTTGGTTGAAACTCAAGTGACCTCCCACATAGCTACAGATACTGTGACCAGCTGTGTAGATCTAGAACAATCACTGCCCTGAGAAGGTAATCATCCTGCAATCTTGGTTTAAGTGTAACTAAAAGATAGGGCTGAGGAGTGGGGCTTTTTTGATCCATAACATGCAAAACAAACCGCACAGAATCCATAACTTGAAAAACACATGAACTATACAGAAACTACATTTTACAACACAGATCATTGAAGTTCCATCTGCTTTAGCAATATCTGATTCAGACTTTGCTCTAGAAAAATACAATCAGTTTCAGTCATTGACTTGCTTCACATATCAAACCAGTAAGTTCCCTAGTTTCTAAACTCTAACCAATTTCTGCCAACCCCTATCTACTACCTTCCACCTAAAATCACCCTATGTCAAAGTCACTTCAAAAAAAAACTCATGTTCAAGCTACTGAATCCTTTGATGAGGGCTCCCTCACCTAGCAAGTGTCTGATGAACTCCTCTTGTTTTTCTAATCACAACAGATTTCTCTACAACCATCTTGTATGAAGTATTTGACTGAAGCCACCTGGATGAACTTGGATAAAGATGTGCTTTGCCCCATGTGGAAGTGATGGGCCATCTGGAGGACCTCTTGCCCAAACAGAAGAGCCTATCACCTGGTAGGCACACATTTGTTGGAGAAAACTAAGCCACCAGGAGGGGCACGGTGGCTCACACCTGTAATCTCAGCACTTTGGGAGGCTGAGGCAGGTGGATCACTTGAGGTGAGAAGTTTGAGACCAGCCTGGCCAAAGAGCGAAACCCCGTCTCTACTAAAAATACAAAAATTAGCCAGACATGCTGGCAAGTGCCTGTAATAACCAGTGACTTGGGAGGCTGAGGCAGGAAAATCACTTGAACCCAGGAGGCAGAGATTGCAGTGAGCTAAGACTGCACCCCTGCACTCCAGCCTGGGCTTTAGAGTGAGACTCCATCTCAAAAAAAGAAAGAAAGGAAGAAAAAGAGAGAGAGAGAGAGAGAAAGAAAGAGAGAGGAAGGAGAGAGAGAGGAAGGAAGGAGAGAGAGAGGAAGGAAGGAAGGAAGGAAGGAAGGAAGGAAGGAAGGAAGGAAGGAAGGAAGGAAGGAAGAGAAAGGAAAAGAAAAGAAAGAAAGGCACCAACATGAAATAAATAACATTTTGCTACAGTAAACATGCCTATTTATAATTGCCTGTTCATCTCAGGAAAATTAATGAGAATCAAAAGTTTCAACTGCATAAAGATGTTCCCAGTTGATAATGAAACCGCTCTTGCAGAGCAGAGCCACAGGCTATCTTTGTGCTGGAACTTGAGCCAGGCAGATATTTTTAAATTTTCTTCATTTCTCTTCAACTTCTCAAGTCTTCTCCAAAGACAGACCATGGTGCAGTGCAGACTTGGAGTAATTTTCGCCATTACAATCTGTACAGAAGATGTTACAAGAAACACACTTCCAGGCTGGATGCAGGAAAGGGTCCAAAGAAACAGGAATGCAGGCATTTGGGGCCTGTGCCAGTGAATAGTGCAAGATCATGGCTCCTTGGCAGTAGGGTGAGAGCTCAGAGAAATCTCACCAGCCACCTGGCTTCTTCCTGGCAGAGTTTAGTCTGCCCCAATAACACTCTCATATCTACTTGTCTTTTATTTTTGACAAGGAACCAAGCAGTGCAAAGAATATGGGAAAGAACATTTCAGGCAGAAGAGCCAGCCCATGGGAGCCTTAGTGGGGGAGTGGTATTCATGGCAAAGCCAAAAGACCATGACACATGAAAAGAAGCAGGCAGGGAGGCAGCTATCCTAATATGAACACATTTCTTTTTTTTTTTTTTTTTTTTTTTTTACATGTGGTTTCACTCTTATGCTCAGGCTGGAGTGCAATAGCTCAATCTCAGTTCACTGCAAGCTCCACCTCCTGGGTGCCAGCAATTCTCCATCCTCAGCCTCCTGAGTAGTTGGGATTACAGGTGCCCACCACCATGCTGGCTAATTTTTTTTTTTTTGTATTTTTAGTAGAGATGGGGTTTCACTATGTTGCCCAGGCTGGTCTCAAACTCCTGACCTCAGGTGATCCGCCTGCCTCGACCTCTCAACTGGGATTACAGGTGTGAACCACCACGCCCAGTCATATGACCACATTTCTAATTAAGACAACCTCACATTTTCACCTCTGCTGCTGAGATGTGAACCAAGTTAATGCCTTTTCTAGGACTGCTCAAACCTATTCTCTGGTGTCTTTTCCCTGCCCTCTACTCAAGGAATTCTCATTTACTTGCTTTATCATAAAACTGTGGGCTGTGTTTGCATTTTCCAGGCAGTCTTTCTTCAGTGTCTCCTAACTGCACCTGGTCATACCTTGTTTTTTCCTGGCTTCTCTGCTTTTTGGGGTTCACTTTTTTACTAGAAGAGACCTTATTTTATTTGAGTCAGAGTCTTGCTCTGTCACCCAGACTAGAGTGCAGTGGTGCGATGATGCTCACTGCTGCCTTGACGTCTGGGTTCAAGCAATCCTCTATCCTCAGCCTCCTGAGTAGCTGGGACTACAGGTGCGTGCCACCACACAGGCTAATTTGTTTTATTGTTTGTAGAAACAAGGTTTCACCATGTTGCCCAGGCTGGTCTTGAACTCCTGGGGTAATCCTCTCATTTTGGCCTTCCAAAGTGCTGGGATTACAGGAATCAGCCACCACTTTCAGCCTTGATAAAAAATCTCAGGACCCCCAAACTTGCTATGCCTACAAGAGCTCTTAAATACATCAGTGAGAAGGGTCTTCAAGGAAGGACCAGAGCTTCCTTTTCTTCCACCAGTGCTTCGGGGTGCTCCTAAACCTAGAATGGTCAAGAGCCCCCACTTGGTGATCTAGGAGCCTGCCTGCTCTTAGGGTGCAAACGTGTCAATTTAGCAAGCACGTTTTTACCTAATTAGTCTGCATTTGTGAACTTTTAAAGCCTAGCCATATGCCAGTAAAGAACTTGATAAGTTTAGTAAAAACATGGAAAGTCAAGTTAAATCAGCAAGAAAACAGAGTACCTTCAATGAAGTGTAGGGGTGGGGAGTGTCAAGGGTCATAACTTTATATTAATATTCCATTGGATAATTTATCAGAAGTTTGTGCTGCGAACTCTGTAGGTCTGGTTTGTTGAATGAGGTAACATGGGAAGCTGGATTCTTACTGGGCTGAGAAATAGACGGCTTCAAAGCCTAGTAAAGGGATTTCATTTTCTTTCCTTTAGTCATATGGTTAAATAGGAGACCCTTGAGTAGGAGATTTATGGATTGTTTTCTCAGATCAAGAATTTTTAGAATTACAACTCTCTCCCTAGTGGTTCCCCAGCTGCTGCATTTTTACTGATGTAACAAAACATTTGAACATGCTGAAATTAACCTTCAGGAGCAAAGAGAGAGCACAAAGAGAGAGGAGAGAACACTAATATCTTCAAAAAAAAAAGGAGATGTAAGCACACTGAAACTCTGGGCTGGTGCAGGAACAATCTGCCTAGCAGCTATAGCCTGAAATCACTGAAGAAAGATAAAGATGCCTCTGCCTGATAGGTACTCAGACGATTTCATATCGTAGATGGAGTCCTCCTGCTGGGAACTTCAGGAAAAGCCACAGCCCTTACCTAGTTCAGACACAAAAGTCTTCATAGTCTACGCCAAAACTACATCATCTTCTCAGCATGGCTCCAGATCCCCTCCCAGACAACCCCCTTTACACAAGGGTCAAAGTTAAGGTTTCTTTGTGCTTCTTGACCAAGAACTTTTGTATTGCATCTGTTACTCACAACTCACATATAGGTGCAGACGGTCTCTTCAGTAGCCAACACCATGTAGCCAAAGCACGGAACAGAGAACTCATGTGACAGATGAGGGAGACAAGCCTTCCCATCTTTTTCTTTTCTATGTCCTTAACAACAGGATGCTGATGTATTCTGAAGACATGAGTTGCTATCTAAAACAAGAATAAAGCAAGGAGTCTGTGAGCTCAGGATCTCTCAGTTTAGGCTGCTCTGAACCTTTCAATTGCTGTGTGGATTGGGCTAATGTTTTTTCTGTCTTATAAACAATATAATTTCTTCAAGCAGATATTTTGTATGGTAGTTTTAGTCTTCTTCATCGGCAGCATCATTCCAAATTCCGGGCCACCATTATCAAAACTGGAAGCTCTATAGCTCATTTCAAAAGATCTTTATTGACAGGACAGCCATTGTGCCAGCACAAAGTATTTTGACTTCTGAAAAAGAAAACCTATCCATAGCAAAGGTGACAAGAGCCAAAAATTTGGAAGTTTTATACTTTGCCCTAATTTTTGTTTCTCATCAGGATTCAATATCACTAATGTTAGCCTTTTGGAGAATTGGAGAGCTGCATCCCGCATGGACTGAGATCTAGAGCTAAGTTCCCTGGTTCAAATCAAGTTTCCTCCACTTGTGAGCTGTATGACACTGAGTATACTGTTGACACTCTCTAAGCTTTATTTTCCTCATGTGTGCAATAAGCATAATAGTTCTACCCTGTAAGGTTGTGATGGGTTTAAATGGTTTAGCCCAATATCTAGCACATACTAGATGAGTGTTAGTGTTGTTGAAAGGAACATGGAGTGAGTGGCATCATTTTGTGGAAAATTATCATTCAACTCCAATATCTGTCTGACAAATTGTTCAGGGATCAATCCAGTACATAAATCAGAAAGACCTCAGGAATAATAAGGAAAGAGAAGACTTCCAACCTGAATATGTTGAAGCATACACATATCTCTCCACTTCCACACAGATAACATTTTTAAAGGTAAAAACCCACAAAGATAGAAACAGTGAGAGAGAATAACACCAGATGAGACATATAACAAAACGTTGAAATATAAAAACCACATGGACAGGTGCAAGTGATACAGCAATGTAAGAAAGCTAAAACCTAGCAAGAGCCATCAGGCAAGAAAAAGAAATAAAGGGTATTCAACTAGGAAAAGAGGAAATCAAACTGTCTCTATTTGCAGATGACATGATTGCATATTTAGAAGATCCCATCGTCTCAGCAGAAAATCTCCTTAAGATGATAAACAACTTCAGCAAAGTCTTAGGATACAAAATCAATGTGCAAAAGTCACAAACATTCCTATACTATAATAATAGAAGGAGAGCCATATCATGAGCAAAGTCCCATTCACAACAGCCAAAAAGAGAATCAAATACCTAGGAATACAACAAACAAAGGATGTAAAGGACCTCTTCAAAGAGAACTACAAACCACTGCTCAACGAAATAAGAGAGGGCACAAAGAGATGGAGAAACATTCCGTGCTCATGGTTAGGAAGAACCAGTATCATGAAAATGACCATGCTGTCCAAAGTAATTTACAGATTCAATGCTAGTGCCATCAAGCTACCATAGACCTCCTTCACAGAACTGGGAAAAAACACCTTAAACTTCATATGGAACCAAAAGAGAGCCTGTATAGCCAAGTCAATTCTAAGCAAAAAGAACAAAGCAGGAGACATCACACCACTGGGCTTCAAACTATACTACAAGGCTACAGTAATCAAAACAGCATGGTACTGGTACCAAAACAGAGATATAGACCAATGGAACAAAACAGAAGCCTTGGAGGTAACCCCACATATCTACAACCACCTGATCTTTGACAAACCTGACAAAAACAAGCAATGGGGAAAGGATTCCCTGTTTAATAAATGGTGTTGCAAAAACTGGCTAGCCATGTGCAGAAAGCAGAAACTGGACCCCTTCCTGACACCTTATACAAAAATTAACTCCAGATGGATTAAAGACTTAAATATAAGACCTAACACCATTAAAATGCTAGAAGAAAACCTAGGCAATATCATTCAGGACATAGGCATAGGCAAAGATTTCATGACTAAAACACCAAAAGCAATGGCAACAAAAGCCAAAAGAGACAAATGGGATATAATTAAACTTAAGAGCTTCTGTACAGCAAGAGAAACAATGGTTAGAGTGAACCAGCAACCAACAGAATGGGAAAAAATTTTTGCAATCTACCCATCTGGCAAAAGGACTAATATCCAGAATCTACAAAGAAATAAAACAAATTTACAAGAAAAAAACAAACAAACCCATCAAAAGTGGGTGAAGGATATGAACAGATACTTTTCAAAAGAAGACATTTATGTTGCCAACAAACATATGAAAAAATGCTCATCATCACGGATCATTAGAAAAATGCAAATCAAAACCATGTTGAGGTAACACCTCACACCAGTTAGAATGGCGATCATTTAAAAATCAGGAGACAACAGATGCTGGAGAGAATGTGGAGAAATACGAATGCCTTTACACTGTTGGTGGGTGTGTAAATCAGCTCACCCCTTGTGGGAGACAGTGTGGTGATTCCTCAAGGATCTAGAAATAGAAATACTATTTGACCCAGCAATCCCATTACTGGAAATATACCTAAAGGATTATAAATCATTCGATTATAAAAACACATGCACACATATGTTCATTGTGGCACTGTTTACAATAGCAAAGACCTGGAACCAACCCAAATGCCCAACGATGATACACTCGATAAAGAAACTGTGGCACATATACACTGTGGAATACTATGCAGCCATAAAAAAGGATGAGTTCGTGTCCTTTGCAGGGACATGGATGAATCTGGAAACCATCACTCTCAGCAAACTGATCCAAGAACAGAAAACCAAACACTGCATGTTCTCACTCACAGGCGGGTGCTGAACAATGAGAACACATGGACACAGGGAGGGGAACATCACACATTGGAGTCTGTTGGGGGTGTGGGAGGCTAGGGGAGGGATAGTGGGAGGTGGGGAGATTGCTCTTTAGTGGTCCACAGAATGTCGGACCAAGTACAGCAAAGAAGTTCTGCCTCAGGAGGGCAAGACTCCCAGTTGACCCTGGGGTCTTCATCAAAATCTCCCCAGACTAAATGATCCTGATTCACTAATGTCCAGTCTGAGGAGAGCCAGGAAGGACAGAGTACTTTTCTGAAGTGGAAAGCCATCTTTGACTTTACAAGTCTCCACAGGGTATAAAAAGGCAAGCATTAAATGTAATAGTTTGACATGAAATTGACTTGGTTACATTAACAATGAGGTGAATTGCAATAGAACAAGGAAAGAAGGAGTAATAGAGTAGATGAAAGAGGGTTAAACTTTTTGTAGCTTTAGTTTGGTGGGGTTTTCCCTGGGGACTATGGCCCATGACTCTGGAGCCATTATTTTTCAGCTAACTGGACTGCAGTTCCAGTAGTCAGGAGCACTAGGTAAGATCCTTCTCAGGCCAGTTTAAGCTTTTCCTCCTTACAGCTTTTGATGAGGATGTGATCCCCAGGCTGATGTTGATGTACGTGATGCCTGTGCTGAAAGACTTTTAGTTCTGAGGGAAGAGAAAGTGGAAGATAAACCAAGTATATAATTCCTGAGAAACTGATCTTTTGTTTTGAACTTGGGAATGTCAGAAGTGGAGTGCAAATAGGGAAACTTCTACAACATTTCATAAGGGGATAAGCCAACACCTCTCTGAGGAGCAGTTTGGATTATCAACAGGGCAATGGGAAGGCATTTGGTCCATGGCAACCAAGACTCTAAGACTAATTTGGTTAGGGGACTTTTTAGTTTGGTTAATTCTTTCCACTCTTCCTAATGAAGGTAGGTGCCAGGGAGTATGATATTCCCGTGTTATGTCCAGTACCTGGACTAATTTTTTTAAAGACATATAAGTAAAATGAGTCCCATTTTCTAAATCAATGTTTTCTATTAATCCAAACCTAGGTATGATATTTTCAACTAATGACTTGAACACATTATTAGTAGTTGTACCTGAAAAGGGACTAGCTTTTACTCAATAAGTAAGGTGATCTACTATTACTAATGAATACTTTAGATGACCAATTGGAGGCATCTCAGTGTAATCAGTTTGGATATTTTGGAATGGCCTTACGCCTGGATTACTTCCCCAAGGGGTAATCCTTTTATAGTTTGTTTTTAGGTTTTTGTTTTTGTTTTTGTTTTTTTTTACATACTAAGCAACCATCTGTAAACTTTTTGGCCAAGGTATACTTTCCTATGCACCCGTAAACTCTGAGGACTGCATCACAGATGGCTTGAAGCCCCCAGTAGGTACCTTGACGTAGATGAGAGAGAGGTTTGGAAAACATCTCTGTGGTCTGGTAACCCACTTTCCTTCTGAATTTTCTTTAGCACCTATTTTTTTTCTATTATTCTTATTTTTTTATTGCATTTTAGGTTTTGGGGTACATGTGCAGAGCATGCAATACAGTTGCATAGGTACACACATGGCAGTGTGTTTTGTTTGCTTTCACCCCTTCGCCCACATTTGGCGTTTCTCCGCAGGCTATCCCTCCCCACCTCCCCCTCCCACTGGCCCTCCCCTTTTCCCCCAAATAGACCCCAGTGTTTAGTACTCCCCTCTCTGTGTCCATGTATTCTCTTTTTTCATCACCCGCCTATGAGTGAGAATATGCGGTGTTTCATTTTCTGTTCTTGTGTCAGTTTGCTGAGAATGATGTTCTCCAGATTCATCCATGTCCCTACAAACGACACAAACTCATCATTTCTGATTGCTGCATAATATTCCATGGTGCATATGTGCCACATTTTCCCAATCCAGTCTATCATCAATGGGCATTTGGGTTGATTCCAGGTCTTTGCTATTGTAAACAGTGCTGCAATAAACATTCGTGTGCATGTGTCCTTATAGTAGTATGATTTCTAGTCCTTTGGGTATATACCCAGTAATGGGATTGCTAGGTCAAATGGAATTTCTATTTCTAAGGACTTGAGGAATCGCCACACTGTCTTCCACAATGGTTGGACTAATTTACACTCCCACCAACAGTGTAAAACTGTTCCTTTTTCTCCACATCCTCTCCAGCATCTATTGTCTCCAGATTTTTTAATGATCGCCATTCTAACTGGCGTGAGATGGTATCTCAATGTGGTTTTGATTTGCATCTCTCTGATGACCAGTGACGATGAGCATTTTTTCATATGATTGTTGGCCTTATATATGTCTTCTTTCATAAAGTGTCTGTTCATACCCTTTGTCCACTTGTTCATGAAGTCCTTGCCTACTCCTATGTCCTGGATGGTTTTGCCTAGATTTCCTTCTAGGGTTTTTACGGTGCCAGGTCTTATGTTTAAGTCTTTTTTTTCTTTTTTAATTTTTTATTGGATTTTAGGTTTGGGGGTACATGAGCAGAGCGTGCAAGACAGTTGCGTAGGTACACACATGGCAGTGTGCTTTGCTTTCCTTTTCCATTTCACCCACATTTGGCATTTCTCCCCAGGCTATCCCTCCTCACCTCCCCCTCCCAGTCGCCCTCCCCTTTTGCCCCCTGTAGACCCCAGTGTTTAGTACTCCCCTTTCTGTGTCCATGTGTTCTCATTTTTCATCACCCGCCTCTCACTCATCACATCACCTCTCACTCATGTGAGAATATGCGGGGTTTCAATTTCTGTTCTTGTGTCAGTTTGCTGAGAATGATGTTCTCCAGATTCATCCATGTCCCTACAAACGACACGAACTCATCATTTCTGATTGCTGCATAATATTCCATGGTGTATACGTGCCACATTTTTCCAATCCAGTCTATTATCAATGGGCATTGATTCCAGGACTTTGCTATTGTAAACAGTGCTGCAATGAACATTCGTGTACATGTGTCCTTATAGTAGAACGATTTATAGTCTTTTGGATATATACCCAGTAATGGGATTGCTGGGTCAAATGGAATTTCTATTTCTAAGGCCTTGAGGAATCGCCACACTGTCTTCCACAATGGTTGAACTAATTTACACTGCCACCAACAGTGTAAAAGTGTTCCTTTTTCTCCACATCCTCTCCAGCATCTGTTGTCTCCAGATTTTTTAATGATCGCCATTCTAACTGGCGTGAGATGGTATCTCAATGTGGTTTTGATTTGCATCTCTCTGATGACCAGTGACGATGAGCATTTCTTCATATGATTGTTGGCCTCATATATGTCTTCTTTCGTAAAGTGTCTGCTCATATCCTTTGTCCACTTTTGAATGGGCTTGTTTTTTTCCTGTAAATCTGTTTGAGTTCTTTGTAAATTCTGGATATCAGCCCTTTGTCAGATGGGTAAACTGCAAAAATTTTTTCCCATTCTGTTGGTTGCCGATCCACTCTAGTGACCGTTTCTTTTGCCGTGCAGAAGCTGTGGAGTTTCATTAGGTCCCATTTGTCTATTTTGGCTTTTGTTGCCAATGCTTTTGGCGTTTTGTTCATGAAGTCCTTGCCTACTCCTATGTCCTGGATAGTTTTGCCTAGATTTCTTTCTAGGGTTTTTATGGTGCCAGGTCTTATGTTTAAGTCTTTAATCCATCTGGAGTTAATTTTAGTGTAAGGTGTCAGGAAGGGGTCCAGTTTCTGCTTTCTGCACATGGCTAGCCAGTTTTCCCAACACCATTTGTTAAATAGGGAATCCTTTCCCCCTTGCTTGCTTTTGTCAGGTTTATCAAAGATTGTATAGTTGTAGATATGTTGTGTTGCCTCCGGTGCCTCTGTTTTGTTCCATTGGTCTATATCTCTGTTTTGGTACCAGTACCATGCTGTTTTGATTACTGTAGCCTTGTAGTATAGTTTGAAATCCGGTAGTGTGATGCCCCCCGCTGTGTTCTTTCTGCTTAGAATTGATTTGGCTATGCGGGCTCTCTTTTGGTTCCATATGAAGTTCATGGTGGTTTTTTCCAGTTCTGTGAAGAAAGTCAATGGTAGCTTGATGGGGATAGCGTTGATTCTGTAAATTACTTTGGGCAGTATAGCCATTTTCATGATATTAATTCTTCCTAACCATGAACATGGAATGTTTCTCCATCTGTTTGTGTCCTCTCTGATTTCGTTGAGCAGTGATTTGTAGTTCTCCTTGAAGATGTCTCTTACATTGCTTGTGAGTTGTATTCCAAGGTATTTTATTCTTTTTGTAGCAATTGTGAATGGCAGTTCGTTCTTGATTTGGCTTTCTTTAAGTCTGTTATTGGTGTAGACGAATGCTTGTGATTTTTGCACATTGATTTTATATCCTGAGACTTTGCTGAAGTTGCTTATCAGTTTCAGGAGTTTTTGGGCTGAGGCGATGGGGTCTTCTAGGTATACTATCATGTCGTCTGCAAATAGAGACAATTTGGCTTCCACCTTTCCTATTTGAATACCCTTTATTTCTTTTACTTGCCTGATTGCTCTGGCTAGAACTTCCAGTACTATATTGAATAGGAGTGGTGAGAGAGGGCATCCTTGTCTAGTGCCATATTTCAAAGGGAATGCTTCCAGTTTTTGCCCATTCAGTATGATATTGGCTGTTGGTTTGTCGTAAATAGCTTTTATTACTTTGAGATACGTTCCATCGATACCGAGTTTATTGAGGGTTTTTAGCATAAAGGGCTGTTGAATTTTGTCAAATGCCTTCTCTGCGTCAATTGAGATAATCATGTGGTTTTTGTTTTTGGTTCTGTTTATGTGGTGAATTACGTTTATAGACTTGCATATGTTGAACCAGCCTTGCATCCCAGGGATGAATCCTACTTGATGATGATGAATAAGTTTTTTGATTTGCTGTTGCATTCGGCTTGCCAATATTTTACTGAAGATTTTTGCATCTATGTTCATTATGGATATTGGCCGGAAGTTTTCTTTTCTTGTTGGGTCTCTGCCGGGTTTTGGTATCAGGATGATGTTGGTCTCATAAAATGATTTGGGAAGGATTCCCTCTTTTTGGATTATTTGGAATAGTTTTAGAAGGAATGGTACCAGCTCCTCTTTGTGTGTCTGGTAGAATTCGGCTGTGAACCCGTCTGGACCTGGGCTTTTTTTGTGGGGTAGGCTCTTAATTGCTGCCTCTACTTCTGACCTTTTGATTGGTCTATTCATAGTTTCAGCTTCCTCCTGGTTTAGGCTTGGGAGGACACAGAAGTCCAGGAATTTATCCCTTTCTTCCAGGTTTACTAGTTTATGTGCATAGAGTTGTTTGTAATATTCTCTGAGGATGGTTTGAATTTCTGTGGAGTCTGTGGTGATTTCCCCTTTATCATTTTTTATTCCATCTATTTGGTTGTTCTCTCTTTTCTTTTTAATCAGTCTGGCTAGTGGTCTGTCTATTTTGTTGATCTTTTCAAAAAACCAGCTCTTGGATTTATTGATTTTTTGAAGAGTTTTTCATGTCTCAATCTCCTTCAGTTCAGCTCTGATCTTAGTTATTTCTTGTCTTCTGCTGGGTTTTGAGTTTTTTTGATCTTGCTCCTCTAGCTCTCTCAATTTTGACGATAGGGTGTCAATTTTGGATCTCTCCATTCTCCTCATATGGGCACTTATTGCTATACACTTTCCTCTAGAGACTGCTTTAAATGTGTCCCAGAGATTCTGGCATGTTGTGTCTTCGTTCTCATTGGTTTCAAAGAACTTCTTTATTTCTGCCTTCATTTCATTGTTTACCCAGTCAACATTCAAGAGCCAGTTGTTCAGTTTCCATGAAGCTGTGCGGTTCTGGGTTGGTTTCTGAATTCTGAGTTCTAACTTGATTGCACTGTGGTCTGAGAGGCTGTTTGTTATGATTTCAGTTGTTTTGCATTTGTTGAGCAGTGCTTTACTTCCAACTATGTAGTCAATTTTAGAGTAGGTGTGATATGGTGCTGAGAAGAATGTATATTCTGTGGATTTGGAGTGGAGAGTTCTGTAAATGTCTATCAGGTTTGCTTGCTCCAGGTCTGAGTTCAAGCCCTGGATATCCTTGTTGATTTTCTGTCTGGTTCATCTGTCTAATATTGACAGTGGAGTGTTAAAGTCTCCCACTATTATTGTGTGGGAGTCTAAGTCTCTTTGTAAGTCATTAAGAACTTGCTTATGTATCTGGGTGCTCCTGTATTGGGTCCATATATGTTTAGGATTGTTAGCTCTTCTTGTTCTATCGATCCTTTTACCATTATGTAATGGCCTTCTTTGTCTCTTTTGATCTTTGTTGCTTTAAAGTCTATTTTATCAGAGATGAGAATTGCAACTCCAGCTTTTTTTTGCTCTCCATTTGCTTGGTAAATCTTCCTCCATCCCTTTATTTTGAGTCTTTGTGTATCCTTGCATGTGAGATGTGTTTCCTGAATACAGCACACTGATGGGTTTTGGATTTTTATCCAATTTGCCAGTCTGTGTCTTTTGATTGGTGCATTTAGTCCATTTACATTTAGGGTTAATAATGTAATGTGTGAATTTGATACTGCCATTTTGATGCTAAGTGGCCGTTTTGCCCGTTAATTGTTGTAGATTCTTTATTATGTTGATGCTCCTTAGAATTTAGTGTGATTTT